CAAGTGGTAGTAAATGTACAGAGTAGGTGCCAGTTTCTCTCTAAATAAACACTGCATCTCCTCAGGACCCGTGTAAAGTTCATTGTATGCCTCCATGGTTTTAAGAAAGGAGGAGAGCCCATGTATAAATAAACCAATCAGTTATGAGTATAGGGAGATCGGATCAAATGAAAACAATGTGTCAGAAACACAAACGAAACCTCTTAAAATGGCACTCAAACATATCTGAAAATGTTACTTACATTTTCTTTTTAGGAAAGACATCTTGGTATAGCATTAAAGATAGGACACACCAACTTTGAAGTGAACCTCATTTGAAATGAAAAACAATCTTGAATGAGGTAAAGAAAGGGTCCTCCTGCATAAATAATAGTATTTTTTAACGTGAGAATGAATTCCTATTTTTATATCAGGCTTTTTTTTCACCTCTCTACCATGATAGAGAGGTAGACAGCGTTCACACACACACACACAGTGGGTCTGTAATCCTCTCAACAGGAGTGGGAATATCACAGCGGCCGTGGGAGAGGGATAACAAGATGACGCATGGACCGAGACAGTGTCCCCTCAAAGGAAACACACACACACACACACACAACACACACACACACACACACACACACACACACACACACACACACACACACACACACACACACACACACACTACACACACCACACACACACACACACACACACACACACACACACACACACACACACACACACACACACACACACACACACACACACACACACACACACACACACACACACACACACACACACACACACACACACACACACACACACACACACACACACACACACACACACACACTGCTGATTAAGGGAATTTCCACCATGTGCATGGCAGACAGGAAAGCAGAACATCAGTGAGGTAAAAATAATAATTACAAAGGCTAAGTGATAAAAAGAAAACTTCAAAACAGGCATGCCTTTAAAGTGTGTGAGCATGTGTGTGTGCGCTAATTGCCACATGCCGACTGTGGTCTCCATTATTAGCAGACTCCAGGTTTTCTCCAGATGAGGGGCACGAGGTGGCCTGCTCCCCAACACTTGGCTACATGTGGGGACAGTTACCATGCACATGTGCATTCTGTGCCTCCTTTATACATTCATTAATCTTCAGAGCCATTAATCCTCCTCCCACATTACTATTGATGTGCATCTTGAAAGGCTTCATTTCCAGTGTCTTCTGACCAAAGCTCTGGTGTCAAATCAGGTGACTATGCGGACGTGTGTGTGTGTGTGTGCTTTTTTTGTTGACTGTTCTCCCAGTCTAAGCCTGAAGTGACTCTGCTTAAATTACAAGCACAGAGGGAGGCGACCTGGCTGAAGGAGGCTGGATGAGGACACACGAGTGCCAGAGGGGAAACTCCTGTGTCGGAAACTTTCTGATAATCAGCCTGTAAGTCCGTTCCCATCACAGGGCACTAAGTACCGCTGTATATACGCACTTACTGCAGCCTAAGCTCAAAATCTCCTACAGCTCTAGAGGATGGACGTGCTATAAATACACAGCTTGACCACAAGCATCCTCGTGTATATTCACTTCCTCTCTCATTCAGGAATCCTAAATCCAGACTCGGAACGTGTACATGCCCACATTAGTAGTCCATGTTAATTCCCTATGTTCCCACAGGATCCCATCTGTACCAGACATTATCTTAATCTCACCAGTGTAAATGACCACACACATAAGCCCCCCCGGCTAACCCTAAATTAAGAAGTTCAGTGCATTTCCTTATGTTAGCTTTCTTTGAAGTGCTTAGCCTAATCTTAGCTTTGTTTGGCTGTAAACAAAAAGCCGGGGTCAAACAACCCCGTGAATGAGATGCTCTTCTTACCTAACTAGCATCAGCTGAGAAAAGTCGCACAGAGATATGTGTTGTGTATATAGCTGAACGTAAATGTGCTATAATATAGATCACACGATTCTTTCAGATGTTTCTTCTTTCTATAATAAAAATGTTTTATGACCTATTGTGAAAGCCAAAAGCACAAACAAAATCAGAAGCATGTGTTGTGCAGCTCAGCTTTTATCTATTTTTATAGGACTTTTTCACTTGCAAAACCCCAAACTATGTTGTTGGTCTTGAAGCAATTTGCTTTATTGACTTCATGTCAGTCCAATTTGATTTACCCCGTACAAAGCAAAGCCCATTAAAAGTCAGCAAAGCAGATCTAGTCAGAGAAAAACTCAAACTGAACATCAGATACAAAAAGTTAGAAATATCCCCCTGTGTTATTCTTTATAATAATGTCCAAATCAGCGGGTAAAGCCAATCATGATCATGGTGGGGAATCGTCTTAACTCACTAATGGAAAAGGGTGTTATAGGTGTGACCAGTCAAATGGGTCAGTGTTGTAACTCTACTTGGAGCATTATAGTATCTAAACTTGTCCAGGTCAATAGCGTGTGAAGGCATGCGGCCACTCTTACGACATTGACACTTTATATAGACTTGATTAAAGGGCTATTAGTGCTTCGTCAGGCAATGCAATGTGTGGGTGAAACAGAGAGGGGGAGTTAAAGCTATTGGGGTATGTGTGTCTGAATGAAATGCTTCCAGCAGGTCATTGATATAACTGGAATCAAATGTCAGGGTCACAGATGGTTATCTGGTAATTTGGACAGAATGTTTCTTCACAATAAGTGTAGCCTCGGGGGTGTCTGTGTGTGATTAAGAGTCATAACATCATCTACTAAATAGTTGCACCAGGGCTAGTTTATCTATGTGTGTCAAACAACCTCTCTCTTCACTCAACACGTGCTCACAGCCTCTTAGCACATGGAAACCACATTGCTGCTGGGAAGGAGCATGTAGTGTGCTTGGCCTCGTGATCAAGTATTTCAAAAGACATGCAACTCAAGAGTTCACGACCAAAGGTGAGCGTTGGATCGACTGATGCATCTCCTCCAGGCTCAGCTCTCTCTTTACCACAATAGTCCAAGGAAAAGAAAGTTCTTGCTGGATCAATGCATTCACATCTCATTCATCTTAAACCGCTTGACCTTGGTCCGACAAAAACAGCTTGACCTCGGCCGGAGGAGAAGAGGTGCTCTCGCTCAAGGTTCTGAATAATTCTCTAAGCTCTGGGAAACTTTCTTTATGTTATAAAAGAAGCAGAGCTTGGTTGGTGAGCAGTTAAACACAAGATCACAGCCCTCGAGTCTTTTACTACTTCAGTGACCTCCACAGACGAGATACTCAGGTCAAGGAACCCTGATGGTCCTTGGAGTTTGGGCGCAGGCTGTATGGATAATTTCCATTTCCCACCCTTTCGGCTTGTCATTATTTTTGTCCCTCTCCCTTCATTTGCTCTCATCAAAAATGCCCCTGAATATAAGAAAACAAGTATACAAGAATTGCAAGTCTTCTGAGTGTTCCCTATTAACAGCTAGACTTAGAAATTATTTAAAGTATCCTTCCATTACCCGACAATATCCCTATTGGAAGTGAGCAGGTCTCCTCTCCTGCTGAGCCTGGGAAAGGTACTGCCTGTCCTTCTCGAATGATATGGAAAAGTAGCAATTTCATCCTCTGTCAATGAAGCGGAGAAACAAACCCCCGGCTCATCCGATGCCCTGAGAGCCAGAAGCTAGTCCCACAAGGCTCATGCTTTTTCCTACCGTCCATGTGGCAACGCACTAAAACCCTACACTTCTCTTTGTTGGGAGATTACTGCAAGTCTACTCATCAGGCCTGGTTTCAGAGGGGGGGTCCACCTGTTCTTTAAAAGTGAATTTCCACCTACGTTACCTAATGCTATTTCTCTAAGTGCGCTGTGGATTTATATAACCACCATGGCTATTGTAAATAGTTTTTATGTAATTTGATTGCCTCAGTAAATAACCCATTCAACTGGAGCTTGTGGGCTCGTTAGATATTAGCATAAGGTAGATATACATGTGAATATGGAGCTCTGTCAGGAACACAGATCATAATGATGTGCTCATCTGGTGCATTCGCTGGTCCCCACAGAGGAGAAGTTAAAGAGCAGGAACAGGAGGAAATGACTACACACTTTTACCTACAGATACCAAATGAATCAAACACATTCAGTGTATGTGTCTTCATACCTGAGAGCCCTGCTCAGCTTATCGTAGTTCATTTGGGGTTTACACTTCCTGGCCCCCCACAGCCGGGCCACCTCATCCGGGTCCTTGATGACGAACTCTCCATAGTCTCCCTGCCAGGCGATAACATCGTGATACTCTTCTTTCCTGAGCAGCTCCAGGATGAAGTGCCACAGCTGGATCTGTCGGGACCCGGGGCTCGACTCTGGCTTGTAAGCCCACTCTGGGAAAGCGATCCCTATAAAAGAGAGATAAAGAGAGCGGGGCGGTTAGCGTACGAAACTGTGAATGATGTTGTAAAAAAAACACGTGTTTAGAATCAAACAGACGAAAACCAACATATTTGTTGTCCCTTCTTCATGTTGTTTAAATGTGGCCTGCGGCCTTTAATAGAACAACCTAGAAAATCTTAGTGGAGATGCAAATAAATATGTAGAGCGCTTAATGTGGACGTAGTCTAAGGCTTTTGTATAAACCACACTTCTCTGCTGTCATTACCACAGAAGCTCTTCAGAGGAAACACACTCACACACTGAAACTACAATACTGAAAGTTGTAGTGTTAGTGGGCTTTGTGGAACGGCACATGAAAAACCTTTCCACCTCTCCTCCACCTCTTTCCTCTCATGCAGTCACTCTTTCCAATGACCAGAAGGAAAACAACATGGCCAGTCATCTCTCCTGTCTGTCCCTCCATCTCTCTCCACCTGCTGCAGAGTAAGAGACTGTGGGTGTGGGCATATGACTGTCCTCACGAGCGTGTGCGTGTGTGCGTGCGTGTGTCCAAATGTTGTACAAGTGCTCGTGTTTGATAATGTTTGTGCAAGTCTCCCACTAACATTCTGTCGCCTGGGTGGTCAACATAATTTGACACGACCCAGCAAAATTGACTAATACAGTGTAATATTCAGCCAGATATAGCTCGTATTTTATTTCATCAACAATATCCTACACACCGCAGTTAGAAAAGGCACATGTGAGGTATTGTGAGGAGGTGGAGTAACCAAAGGAAAAACATCCACCCTGATAAAGTGTTGTTGCGCAGGATATGTAATGCCAGATGATGTTAGTTCATAATGTTTGGTTCAAATAATCACATTACACTGACTGATCAAAAAACAATTGTTACCTTATCTGATGTAATGCAATATAATAGAGGAAAGGTGTTATTTTCTTATTATCTTATGACATTGAGTTAAAAATAGGGCTGCATCATTTGAAAAAAAAAATGTGTATCATTGTATAATATTGCAATTTTGAAATAGGGATTAGATATTAAAAAAAGGGAATATATTGAAATGATCATGGTGTGATTTTTAAGAGGATCTGTACCAAGAAAATATGTTTTTCTAATTCTGTAAAACGATTTGAGGCCGGGATATCTGTGTAGCTCTTCAATACTTATTATATTATTCTTTGGCAAATATTGTGCTTTCTGTGATTTTAATATTGCACTAGTCCATATTATGACTTTGATACAATTATGATTGATTGTGAAGCATTAGTTAAACATATGGAGGAAAATTACAGTCCATAAAACTAACTGCATTAAACAAATGTCAAACAATGTAGGCGCTTTCACACCAAGTACTTTTCCCAGGAATAGTTACCGGAACTTAGTTCACCGTAAATCTTTAGTTCCTGAACTATCTAGTAGATCACGTTCACACCGGAATAAGTTCCTGAGGGAGGATTACGCAAATGAAGCCGCTGACGTCACTTCTTCTTCTTCTTCTTCTGCTGCTGCTTTACTGGCAGGCTGCAAACAACTTCACGGCGTATACTGCCACCCGAAGTCCCCGGAGTAAATCGCCAGAAGCGCCGACACCTCCTCATCACTCCACCGCTCCCATGTTTTTTTTTGTGTTGCCATAAGTTAGTCTCTCTCCGTTAGTGCGCTGGGCTAATGCTAATGCGAGCAAATAAAATGGCGGCTTCACAAAACCTTTCTGAGTTTTACGGGGCGTGGTTTGCAATTCGCCCAGCCAATCAGAAATTGGAACCTTTTCCTCCCCAGGAAAGTACCACCTCTCTAGCAGGGACTGAAAAGGGGTGAAAAGGTTCCCGAAAAAAAGTTCTAGTTCCAGATCTTTTTGGTGTGAACGCAAAACCCCAGGAACTATCGGAACTATTCCTGGGAAAAGTACTCCGGTGTGAAAGCGGCTAATTGTTGAAAGTTGTAAGTGAAATGTAGTATTCATTACAGGTCTGCTGTTTTACAAGGGATGGTTTTTCTATTTTCATGCTTTATTTTTGTATTACTTCCTTCTTTGGGAGGACATGGAAAGACATATAAACTAGCATGAAATCAGTGTTTGCCATGCGTTTAACTGCACCACATGCAAATGCAAACAGAGGAAATGAGACAAGCTGCTCCAGAGATTGAAAAAAAACAAACACGCCCAGACCAACAGATTATGGATGTGCAGGCTTGTCAATGGATTTTCTGGATGGTGGCCTGAGGCAGAGATGGATAGCTCTGATAATCTCCGCTGGCCTGTTCTGACCCTTTAGTCACTGTTGCATAACTCTAAATAATGTTGATAGCACATCTGCCAGACATTTATGAATCTAAACATAATACTTGATCCTTTCATCAACGTGACTCAACTACTTTACTATTTTTGTAATGCTATGTAATAGACTCGTAACCATCTTTCACATTTAGTTTATCAGTTTTCTTGTTAAAAATTGGTGGAAAGGACATTTATGTAGGATATTAGATATTCCTCACCACCATTTCTTGCTGATTTTCTACAATTTGGGTGATATATTTGGATAACATGGTCAATAAATCCACCTACTAAGGAGTCATTTAGCAATTCAAAATACAAAAAATTGAATTTCAGTCAAACAATAGGCCTACACATTTTAAATCTCCAAATTCGAGGTAGGATTTTTTAAGCATTGGATTTTATGCAGATAGTAGGTGGTTGAAGCGAAAGGTTGTGCAGACCGTTAGCTATAGCAAAAAATACAAAGTGTGAAATGACAATGGGTGTAAAAATGTACCGTCTGTGTGTGTAATTTCCAGACGTGCATAAGTAGGCAGCAGTTAGCATGAGAATGAAGAACAGCCCTCGCTCACTGTCGTTTTATTTCCTTTTTCTCCTCCCACCCTCCTCCTCCTCTTTCACTTTCAGAGGAACACTTGTTGCTCGATCAAACACTTGTGCGCTACAATCACAGAGGAACACACCGGGGGTAATCATAAACATACTGGCCTGGCTGAGCGTCCAACAATAACACACAATCACCCACACACACACACACACACACACTGTAGAGGACAACACATTATTTCCAGACATAGCAAACTGATAGTGACTGTCTCAAAACAAGTCGGGATGCGAATGGTCAAAATGGCCAATCTGGCTGATACTAATAAATGAGTAATACTGTTGACTTTATCTCAAGCGACTCAGTGGCCAACAGTAGATCACTCTTTGTACTGGGAGTTCAGATGGACAGTAAAAAACACGTGTCATCTACTTTAATATCGGTTATTGTGTAATTTTTTCATTCAAAAAACTAAAAATTCAGTTTTATAGACACTTTCTGCTTTACTACATTTCATATGTATTTGTTTAAGAAGGGACAATGCACATTAATTACCATGAGCACTTAAGTCCATCAGGTTAATGTGTAACAGAAGCTACATCTCAAGACAAGACCCAACTTGAAAAGACATCAACTTGGGTTTTGAGAAGCTGGTAATTAGTCAAGAAAATATTTGGCGCATTAATGTATAATGAAAATAATAACAACATTCCAGCTTTTAGAGTTTTATGACAATGCGAGTTTGTGATTTTTAGCGCATTTGCATGTCTGACCAGATGCATCTCCAATTATCTCTTTTACTTTGGCATGGGTCATAGAGGTCATGATTCTCACACACATCAAATGTCAGGTCCTTCAGTGAAATGGATCCCACGTAAATATCTGAAGGACTGACAGTCAGGCTGAGTGTGAATAAAAGCAAGAAGACATTCTCCACCTGAAGTGCCACATTATACACCGTTATTAGCAACAGCCTTTATAAAAGCGACTTCATAGCATAGTGTGTGTGTGTGTGTGTGTCAGGGTTCCAATAGGTTTCACCAACTCAAATTTAAGACTTTTTAAGACCTTTTTAAGACCACTTTGAATATAATTTAAGACTTATTTCACAGGAAGAAAGTATGAAAGAAGAAATACGTCCCATAATTACTTACAAAGTAAATGTATTCATGTTCAACATAAGAACGATGACTGAACATAACAGCATAACAGTACACAGAACTGTGTTAGCGTGTTAGACAAACAGTGTGTGTGTGTGAGTGAGTGTGTGAGTGAGTGAGTGACAAGAGCTATATTCAGAGCTCTGCTGCCTTCATGCTGTTGTATGATTGGTGTTTAGCTACGGTATTTAGCGTCCACAGCACCTCCGCTTTTAGGCTTGACGTAGACTGTTGCACTTGCTAACGCTGCATTAGCAAAACAAATGCTAATTTTGTTTGCAAAAGGTGCAGCGGGCTTCAAACACGTTCCCCTCCACTGGTTTCAACCAAGCACTAAATTCGATGTTTTCCAACCAAATACGGTGGAACTTACACTTCCCCATATTTATTTTTAAGTAGATTCGAAGATACCTGAGTTTCTGACTGCCGCTAGCTGAAGCTTGGTTGGTTGCTAGGTTACTAGCTGGGTGTTCTCCGATAAGGGGCCGGGGGAAACAAAGTTAGTGATTACCGGTTCCATGTTGATTTATTTCAATACAAATTGTTGGGGGGAACTGAAAGGCTATTGCCGTACTGGTTACTTACATTTCCCCCAAAACACATTTAGACGCCATCGCACCACAGAAGTACCTTTCAAATACGATCATTTTTAAGACCTTCTAAATCATATTTAAGACCTCTCTTATTTTTTTGATCATATTTAAGACTTTTTAAGGCCTTCAATTCTGATGATCAAATGTAAGACTTTTTAAGACCCCGCGGGAACCCTGGTGTGTGTGTGTGTGTGTGTGTGTGTGTGTGTGTGTGTGTGTGTGTGTGTGTGTGTGTGTGTGTGTGTGTGTGTGATGGTAGGGATTAGGTTTAAAGGAATGCAGAGAGCAAGAACAGGTGCCTTTGTCTTTCTGTCCTCCCAGAGTCCAACCCAGGCTGAGCTGTCCCGACTCAAACAGGATCAGCTATCACACACACACACACACAGATCTGTTTTATCATCCTTGTACAATAAATAGGAGAATTTT